AATAAGTCTTCATTTTGTTTCTTCTGCTACAGCTTCTCTGGATATTTCGCCTCTTGCGACTGCGGGTTCCCATACCTGTTTCATATTGGAAATATACTTCGAAAAACTTTTTTTACCTCTCCTATTTGATTGATATATGATTCGTTTTGTAAATTTTCACTTAAATTGTCAAGACCATTTTCTAAACGTCTAATTTAATTCTAGGATCAATAGCACCTAAACAATAAAGAAAAGGAACGGGTCTCCAATATTTCAAAAAAAATTTTCCATTCCTTTATTGGTGCATGTAAATTTATCATCTTTGTTTTTTGTAAATAACTCGGAAATTTTATAATTGCATGTATTACCAATGGACTAGTAGGTAATACACACTAGAAGTTGTAAATGGCTTGGTAAAAACATTTGAGAAAAGAATGAAATACTTTAGCTATCTTCCAATCATTTTCTACCAAATGATGAGGACCTCTATATTTGCTACAAATAACTAATTATATTAGCATAAGGTAAACATGAATCAAACATTAAATAAGTACTATTCCATCTAACAGGCTATCTAATGCAAAAGTTCTAGGAGACAATTTGATTTTATACAAGCTTCTTGAAATTCAGCTTTCTTTTATACTACTAGTAATCCAAGCTAAAGATTCCCTAATTCTATCAATATTTTTTAATTGTTTTCATACCACTTTTCACAATTAAATTAATAACATGACTGCACAACGTTGGTGAAAAACTTCAAATTATTATATAAAAGATATTATTTTTGAAAAAATTCTATAGCTTTACTATTAGAACTTGCATTATCTAAAGTTAAACTTATCACTTTATCAATAAATCATAATCTTCTAAAACTTCAATATTTATTATAGATTTCTAAACCACTATGATCACATCCATTAATCTAAATCCTAATAAAGATTTATTTAATTAAATTCATTATCAAAATAATGACTAGTCACATAAATATAATCTTGTTTAGCTCTACCACTCCAAATATCACAGTTAAAGCCACACTAATATGACAAGTATGAAATTTATTTTTTACTAATTTCATTTTTTTAAACAATTTTATTAAATCATTTCTAGTTGCAGTTTTAGAATAACTTTTAAATCCTGGAAAAAGATTTTGAATAAATCTTTCAAATATTTACTTCTGCCATATTAATAGGTGATCAGATCAGCAATATAAAGCTAACTGTTCCCTATATACATCAGAATTATAACGCAAGTAGTACCCTTTAGTTATTTGAGTTTGATTGCTTTCTCTATTTCCATTGTTGATTATATGTTTATTAGCATGCCTTTTTAAAGTACTAGTACCATTACCTGAATCAGCTTTATAAACATTTGCACAATTTGCATCTTGCTTTCTGACTTGAACGCCATTTTCTGTCTCGTAAAACTTGTCGAAAGGCGCCAAACGTCTGATGTGTGTCTGTTTTTTTGCTTGCGACGCAGTTGATGATCCCGCCTCAGCTTGAGATGAAGTTGGACGAAGGACGACATACGAGGACGACTTCTAGAACCACCGGCGCTGTTGGAATCGACGCCATATTTTGAGGTGTATCGGATTCTGAGACTGGATTGGGACAGCGGGACTATTTGAATCTCCTGCATCATAGTAAAATCAGCGGACTAGGACTAGGATAATAGTTTTTTCCCATTGAAATTGATGGAGGAAATATCTATCCATTGTAGACTTGTAGTTGAAAAAAAAAATGATGTAGAAGAAATAAAATTAAAGAAAGAGATTTGGAATATGGAAATTGGAATATGAATTGAAATTGCAAAACCTAATAAAAATTAAAATAAGAGCAAATTGATAACAAAATATAAGAGAATAAATGAATATTGAGACTTGAGAGTTGAGAGAATAGAGAATATGAGAAAATGAGAGAATTTGAGTTGTGAGAAAATATGAGAGTTTAGTCCAATTATAGAAAAAATAGGGAAAGAAAATGACAAAAAGACCCCTCCAACTTCTATAAAACGGCTAGATTTCAAGGGTAAAAGTGTAATTGAAAAACCCTAAAAAATATAATAATTTTTTTTTTTTTTTTTTTTGGGCCAACCCGGCGGGTTGGCTGTTGCCAAGCCGCGGGTTGGCCGTTGGCAACAGCCAACCCGCCAGCAACCCGCCGGGTTGCGGGCCTCTTCCAAAGAGGCCAAAATAGCAACCCGGCGGGCCGCGGGTTACCATTGTGTAACCCGGCCCGCCCGGGGGTGGCTGGCGGGTTGGGCTCAACCCGGCCCGCCATGAAGGCGGGCCGGTTTGAGCCCTCCTTTTTACGGGCCGGGTTAGGGTTGGCCCGCCTAACCCGGCCCATATTTTCCACCTCTACGCCCAACCTACAGAGCCAAGGTCCAGACCCAAACAAGGCAAGGACCATTATCACTCTAAACAAGAATGACTCTAATACCATAATAAAGTGGGCATGAAAAAGGAGGACAATAAACTCTCCTATTTTGCACTTCTTCGGATGGAGAAATGTCTATGTGAGGATGGTCACTCAGTTCCTCATCAATCTTGCTACCAAACAGCGCAATGTTATTGGGTTAATACTCGATGTTTAGCTGAAATCAAGACTGAGTTGAGCCAATCAAATATGTTTGATCCTCGATTGCAAGCCAAGATACTGAAAGTTGTTGACGGTTGATATGGTGAGGAAAATGGTTTCAACCAAGCTATTGAATTGTTACCAGTGAAATTGTTATGGGGGCGTTTGGTTGGGGGTTAAGTGGGATTACTAGGGTAATATCATCTTATATTACTTGATTACCATGTTTGGTTGTCAAGTAATATAAGATACCGGTAATCTTCAAATACCAATAGTGGTTACTATTGGTAATATCAGAAGTAATCTGATTACCTCTATTTTCTTAGGTATTCTGAGATTACCAGGATTATCTTTTTTTTGTTATAATTTTATCCCTTATTAATAAAAATTTTGGACAATAATACCCCTACTTTAAAACAAATTTACATTAATATCCTATTTCAATTTTACCCTTGTTTAATTAAAATTTTGGACAATAATGCCCTTATATTTAAAATCATTTACAGACCACCACTGCCACCCAGCCACCACCGTCGACAGCGGGCCAACCACCACGAACCACCGCCGGGAAATCGTCGGAGTCCCTAAAAAAGAAGGAAATTCTGTGAGAGGCTCCGGGAGGCTTCGATATGGCCGTTTTCGGTCATATTGATGGCCGAAAACGGCCATATTAGGCCAGATCTGGCCGAAAATGGCTAGATCGATGGAACTGGCCATTAACGGCTAGATCCCTGGCCATTAACGGCTAGGTCTAGGCCAGATCTGGCCGTTAACGGCCACGAACATGGCCATTAACGGCCAGATCTGGTCCAGATATGGCTGCTAATGGCCAGAGATCTGGCTGTTAACGGCCAGATCCATCGATATGGCCCGATATGGCCGTTTTCGGCCATCAATATGGCCAGAAACAGCCATATCGGAGCATCTTGGTCATGGTGACGTACTCACGGGAACTTTCGGAGACATCTGACGGTGCTTCGCGGTGGCGGCAGACAGCGGTAGGAGGTGGGGGTGATTTCGTCATAAATTAAAGTTTTATATAAGCTTGAGTGTTTTAGCTAAATTTGAAATATTGGGGTTAAAAGAAATTATTCAAAAATAAATAATAAAAATAATATTATATTAATATTTAAAAAGGGGACAATTTAGTAATTTAAACAACATACCCACCAATTTATTCCCCATAACCAAACATATTAATATAACATACCAACCAACTAACCAAACATATTTTCCTAAAGATTCCCAATAATCTTCCAAGGTAATCTATCTTTCCAGTAATCCTATATTCCCAGTAATCTAACATTCCTAAACCAAACACCCCCTATAAAACACTTGAACAAGGATCAAGAAGCTAATCAGAGCAACTTCTGAAAAGCTGCCACTTCTGCAGAGTTAGAAGTTCAAGAAAAGAAAAGAAAGAGATAAGGAGGATAATTATTAGTGGGTGTGTCCTCAGGGATAGGGAATATTCTAGTCCTCGTCCTCCATTTTTTCGTGGATTCCCCACCCTGTTCGGGGCACGGAAAAGGCCCATCTCTAAGTCCGTTGGATATGTGATTGTTTTCAATATTAAAAAAAAAAAAAAAAAAAAAACCTAGCTTTTGAAGTAAGTTCTACTCAAGTTCATTATATCAAAAATATCTTATAAGGGACATAAAAGAAAAAAAAAAAAATATATCCAAATGAATATAAATACAGTATTACGAAACCTTAATTTTCAATAAACTAATCACATGCATTTGTAGCTTACCAAAATTGGAGACAACAAGAAAAATAAATTAATTAATGAAACATGCATGGAGTAACAACGTGGCAATATGAAAGTTTAACGTGGACGTGATCAGCCAAAACCAGCAAAATAAAAAACTAACCCTTATTTCCCCCCACGAAAATCTCTCCTCCATCCTCTTCCATTCTTTTCTTTGATTGCAAAACAAAATACAGAAAAATAAGAAAAGAAAAAATTCCTTTATGCACCATCATAGTCAGATATTACTCTCATTTATCTTTGTTTCATTACCCGTACTTCCTTTTATTGATCTCCTAATTCATTCGTAGCAAGGATTTTCTCTAGTTGGAGAATAATTAACATGGTAATCTCTCTTAAATCTCTTTTAACTTTTTATTTTCCTGAAAATTATTTTCAAGCCACATTTGGACGTTGAGTGAAACATGCTTTGAGCAATTGGATCAAATTTTTTTTTTTTTTTTTTTTTGAGTCAAGTGTTGAATTAGCCTTATGATTAAGCCGAATTGCTTTTGTGGTTTGGCAATCATCTATTTCTTGTTGTCTAAATTAATAAAGCAAGGTTTCAGCATATTGTATCATCACATGGAATTATGGATATGGTACCTGCTCTTTCATCTATTCACATGTTGTGTAATATTGTCGTTTAATTTTGATGTCAAATATGATTTTCGTGCAATACATAGGCGAATTCGTCGTCTGGGATGGCTGTGAATGATGAGTGCAAGCTGAAGTTCTTGGAGCTTAAAGCAAAGAGGAACCATCGGTTCATTGTGTTCAAGATCGAAGAACAGATTCAACAGGTGACGGTTGAAAAGGTTGGGAGTCCAGAAGAAACCTATGATGATTTCACTAATTCATTGCCTGCAAATGAATGCCGTTATGCTGTCTTTGATTTTGATTTCACAACTGAAGAGAATGTCCAAAAGAGCAAGATTTTCTTTATTGCATGGTAATTAATTAATTAAGCTCTATGCAGATACGGGGTTTCATCATCATATTAATATATGATAGTAATCATAATCATATTGTAGGGCACCTGACACATCAAGGGTGAGAAGTAAGATGGTTTATTCAAGCTCCAAGGACAGATTCAAAAGAGAATTGGATGGAATTCAGGTGGAGTTGCAAGCAACAGATCCTAGTGAGATGAGTTTGGATATTATCAGGGGCCGAGCCATCTAAGTCCCAGAAGTCACCGTCTCTCTTCACGCTAATTGTTTCACTTTGTTGTGGGATCGCTCTGGAAACTTGTCTAAACTGTTAATATTGAACCATTTTTGGTCAAATTTTCATTGTTTCCTTCTACATTTGTTTTCACTTCTTTCGTCAAAAGTTTTGTTTCCCGATTGGAATCAAAGCCATCAAGTTTTGGTTTGTTTTCCGGAGAATTATTAATTGATATATTTATCAGATTCTGCTATTTATTTAACTGATTTATATAGGACTAGAGACTCTAAAATAGATATAATTAAACCATAATTTCAAATAATGACATTACGAATTAATCAATCAGTAGAAAAGCAAATAATAGGGTTGAAAAAGCAATTAAATCAACGTATAACACAAGCCACTACTGCTGTTTCTTTAGATTTTCCCAGTATTCACCCTCTCCCACATCTCTACTTGTTTCTTTACCATCTCTTTATTCTCTATGAAAGCTTGAAGTGCAAGGGGTTCAAAAGGAGAAGGCAAACTGCACGGAACTGTCTCACTAGAAGAATTCACCATTGACTCCACCATGAATTGTTTCCATAAACCATCCTGTGAGCAAGCCATTGTTTGTGAACAGATCTGTTTCGCTCCTTCAGTTATTCGTGGTTTGAATTTCAAAAGCTTTGCGTATTCGATTAACAAATGAAGCATATAATCATAAACGTACTTCATTTTGAGCTGCTCTTGAATGTATTTGCTTCCTTCTTTCCCTATGGCTTGAGCCTGTCAATTTATGAAGTCCAAAGTTTAATATTTATATATAAGATAATTATATCAAATGTAAAGCTATGATATGAAGCATATAGAGTACCTGGTGACTGTGCTTATTGCCCCAATCGACAGCAAATTTAATATCCCTACACTTCCTGGTGGTTCTAATGGGCCAGTAATGCTTCATGGGCATAATGCTTCTTATAAAGAAATCATAGTACTCAGGCTCTAACACCAAAGTCATAGAATCGCATGCCAATATGTATTTGTCACTCACTGACCATGCTGCTCCTTCTACGAAAATTTTATATCTCCACAACCAAATTTCAAAACCTAATTAGTAATTAATCATAACCATTTGCAAATTAAATACAAATTAAGTTCAATAATTAATATATAGTTATATACCTGTGGGTGCATTGATCTTCTAATTTGGAATTCTTATACCCCTCTTCCATTTCTTTATTCCAGTCCTGGATATGGAGGCGAGCATTCCAGTCACGTCTTTCTGAAACATTACACTTCATCAGGTCCCCTCTAGTGTCAGAGACATGCGGGTTTCCCTTCCAATATGCATAGGGTACTCTATCTTGCCATTGAATCCTCTTGTTTCCTTCTTTAAGGTCTTCCAGTATACTGCCCCATGGCTTTATATTGGTCTCAGCCCTAACATAATATATCAACATAACAAAAATCAAGGCCCGTGACTACTTGATGCTAGCACAAAATTAAAGCAAAATCAAATGCATATGAATATAATCTTGTTATATGTTTATTTAGGCGTTTCATTATGCAATTAATAAACAAATATGTAAGGCTTTACCAACCCCAGAAGGTCCAATCTGGGAAGACGATGTCCAAAGATTCCTGGTGTCCACAGTAGTGAAACACAGGAGGTGGAAACGTTGCATTTGGTCCTTGGTAGTCATTTTTGTGGATCACTGGCCTGTCTTCACACCAAAACATCAGCTCCAAGTCTGGTACCTTTCCAGGGTAAAACCTCAGCAGCTGCAAAATGCCCCACATAGTGAAGAGATCCCTTGTTTGATATGGCTTTTTATACTTCTCCACATAAGCCTTGCCTTCAACAATTACCAGTCTAAAATGCGCATGATCTTTTCCACTTTCAACCATTTCCCTGGTTATTCCGCTTTTCTTCCATGGCTGTAAGTCTTTGTGGATCCACCGAAAGTAATCAGGACATTCACCACCCGGTAATCCTCTAGTTTCGGGTGGTAACATATAGTCGGCTGGGCATACTGACAAATCAGAGGCTGAGCAGTTGATTTGAACGGCCCGATTGTGAAGAGATTTATGGGAAGTTTTGGAGCTAAATAGTGCCTGGTGCAGAAGAGAACCTGGAATAACAGACTGAATAAACCATAAGCACTAAGAATTTAATTGGTGTTAAGCAAAATCTTATTACTATATAAACTGTGGAACATGCCTGGTAGAGACTTACAACATGCAGCCAATAAATGAAGGAACCAATAAAAAGGATGGTGAAGAAGGATAGAGAAATAGTTGCTGATGTCCATCTCTTGGCAGATCTACAAGTTGTCTCCACAAAATGACTACATTTGTGAGTCCCACGTACACAGAAACCAAGAACTGCACCAAAATTTTCCATCTTTTATTAACTCCCAGTTTGCTAGCCGCTATTAGTCTTCTGATTTCCTGATTTTCTGCTAGCTAGCTATCTGGTCCGAATTATTTTTTATGTTGAATTTATCAACAACAACGAAGAACAGAAACGAGGGAATTACAAGAGATCTTCAGACTTTCAGAATATTGTCTTAATGGAAATAAATTGTTATGAAGAGCAAGAAGGTAGAGAAAAGAGAAATTAATGAGGATTAGTCAAACCGCGAATCTTAATTCATAAAATAGTATGTGTCATTTTACAGTATCAGGATAAACACCCCGATACTGATACTGAGATCATCATTAGCAATTGATTGAAATCAATTTTCAGAAATAATTTGATAATCTGAACAAAAAAAAGAAAAAAAGAAAAAAAGAGAGCTGAAACATCGGAAAGATTTGGTCTACTCTCTCCCCTTAGTTCTCCCATATACCTCCCTCTTTGCAAGTAACTGCAGTTCCGTAGCTCTCTCTCTTTTTCTTGTTGTCTAAATCTACACCATTCCACCGCAAATTAATTGCACCAATTTACAGTTGGAAACTTATTATTTAAATGGCATGCAGAATC